AAAGCACAATGGTACCCACGGTGGCTTTGGGAAGCTTCCAGCACTCCAGGGGGATGGAGGCAGCTCCCCAGCCAGTATGGGCAGCGGTTGTAATGCGGTCCTAAGAGTCACAGCATGAAGATTCAGGCTGGAAGAGATTGAGACACGATTTCCTGAGAGACCTTTTAGTCATGAACAGAGATGAAGAAATGCCCAGCTGCAGTGTTTGTTTCCTGTAAGAAGTCTTGTGGAGCTGCCTGGCCAGAGTGCCCACTGGCATGTGGAGGCGCCCAGCTCTCTTTGCCCACCCTGCTCCAGCAGCTGTCTTTGCTGGTTGCAATGTTGTAGCTCATAGCTGGTCTCCAGGGCAGGGGTAAAGATCAAATCTCCTCGTCAAGGCTAATTACGAGAACAGCACATTAAGGTTTTCCTTTGGCATTTTAATCCAGTCTCCTCAGAGCTTTTATTCCTGTAAAGTAACAAATGTCACTTGTTTTTAAAAAGATTATCCTTCATTTGTCCGAGATGGATCTCTTAACGAAGAGCAGGGCTCCTTTGGACATCTTGACGAAGTCTTTGTGAGCAGCGAGGCTGGGCCTGTCTTCGGGAGCGGAGTCATGGCTCCCACACGGATCACATCTGGACTCTGCAGGGTGCATGCTCCAAACGCCTGGGCAGGGTCAGAGGCATGGCCAGCCCTTCAGCAGCATGAGAAACGGTGTTTGCATAGGCAGATGTGCTAAATACACTATGACAAAGCACATTTAAATCAAGTTAGGTTAATTATTTTCTAGAAGGTAATGCTTTTGCTCCAGACGCTGCAAAAGGCTTCTGAAAAATGCTTATGCGTACCTAAGCACAGCAGCTAAGAAGGTAAGAAAAATCTGGGAGAATTGATTTGACAGATAGTAACCTCAGGGACAGGAGGAAAGCCACCTCATGCTGAGCGTGCAGAGCCTTGGCGGGTTTGGAAATCCATTCCTTTGTGTCCCATGTCACTCAGGTACCCCTCAAATATGTGCACATCTTCTCTAAACGTTCCCCATAGCACTGGTAATATTTTCCTCCATCGTGGGCATGCTGCAAGGATTAATTCCTTTGTGTTTCTTCCAAGCACACAGAAGTGGAGGAGGAGCTCCGCAGACTGCCCACGGGAAGGTGGCACGCTGCTCCACAGGCTGTTGCGGGGTACAGTGTTGCTGATGGGACACGCATTGCAAAAGCCAAAACAAGCAATATTGCCAATTCTAATAATTTAAAAGCCGAGAGTCTGGCTTATGAAATCATGGTGGTTTAAAAAAAAAAATTAAAACGACCCTTGACTAGCGTGTTTTCTCCCTGTTTAATGAAACTTCATGGTATGCAGTGATGATGTTTTCTTTATGTCCTTTACCTATGAGAATTACAAACAATTATTTTCTGTTTTTTTTAAATGAAAGGTAAGATGCTCACAAGTTTTCATGCACCTAGGTAGTGGGGACTTTGAAAACCATGCCACATGTCCTTAGCCTCAGGCTGAAGCTGCAGGAACAGCCAGTTTTGGAATGTTCTATCACAGTGGAAGAGGACTTCCATTGCCAGTTGACTGTGGGGGTTAGAGATAGAAGAGGCTCCAACACTTAATCCCTGTTAGAGCCCTGACAACACTGATCTTATGTAAGGAGCCTTAAAAATCTTTATTGCAGTTCCATGGCTTGTTGAGTCCAGAAGCAGATCAGCAAGCACTGCATTAGCCAGCAGAGTAAAAAGCTTCAATGAGGAAATTCATTCTATAGGGGTGCCTAATTTCTAAGTGTTTACAACTCTGGTCAATTATGTTCTAACAATACAGTGTCCTGAATGTTTTGTGGGGGCAAGGACTCAATAAATGTGATTATTAATCAGAAGTTTAACAAGTAACAGCTTCAGACTTTATCCCCAGGAAAAAAATGTGTTTCTGTATCCCAACTTACTAAATTAAGGTAACGTATTTGTGGCTGGATTTTTAATATCTATATCTATATTTATCTATCAGTGCGGCTCATCTGGCTTCAATATCACTGAGCTGTAGAGATGATCAAAAGCAAAATGAGAATGCTGAAGCTGGGGTCTCCTTTGAAATATTGCCTTTCCAGGCTGATATTTTTCCAGTCCTTCTGCCAGAAGTCTCAGGTCTGCGTCGTCCATTTAAATTGTCATCTCATCTCAGTGCAAATCTTGGCCCCAGCCAAGGCCATCTGTTGTTGGGTAGTAGTTGTGATTTATTCTGCCTCTGGTTGACATTCATGCTCATGGGCCAGATGCTGACTTGCAAGATTTGCTTTTATTCATTTTCAGTTTTATACCATGTGTTAATATCACAAACAGCATTTTAATTTTTGATTTTTTTTTTGGTCTAATGTTTAAAATTAGGGATGAGTAATAGCATCACACACTCATCTGGGATGCAGTTCAGCATACTTCAGAACAGGATAGGAGAAAATATTTTACATTTTAGAAATGCATTCAAACAGTGTTTCTGAATGTCTAATTTCTTCCTAATCACTAATCCGTGCACTCACTTATGTTGCATATCAGTAATTAGGTATTGCTTTCAAATAAAAGTTGTGGACTATTTGAAGACTTTGGGGCTCGAGAATGTTGTAGGTAGCTAAACTATAGGCAAACTATTTATGATACTTCATAGCTGCAAAATATTTATGATAGTTACTTTGCTTTCAGTGTAGAATGAGGGTAATTACAGAACTTTGCAAGTTTTTCCTTATTTTGTTGCTATCCAGAAATTTGGCATTTTTGTCATGGCACCGCTGCTTATTTCTGTAAAGGTACTCTCATTGTAAAGCCTTTGTGATAGCTCTTAATACATTTTATACATACAGCAGGTAAGGGTGCCATTATAAGCAAAACTAAGCCAGCATCACTTTATGTACCAATCTTTAGATATATTAGCAAAAAAAAGTAGCTACTTGTAGTGATTCACAGGTGATAATCTATGCAGTGCTTGTTTTGCTAGGTAAGGGTGTTGTAGACCCTCAGAAGCATTGAAAAAGAAGAAAACCAGGATAAGCATTTTTTAAGCGATGTTAAAAATAGCCATCAAATCACGACAAGGACATTGCTGCAAAATGCGGTTTTAATGGACGTCTTATCTTTGGCCTGTTCCCTTGGGAACACTGAATTGCAAGAACAGTTTTTCTGTGAAGTTCATTGTCTTTACTGAGTGTTGTCTTAATCTCAGTGGTTCAAAAACGAAATGGGAATTACATATGTAGTCTGAGAATGATACCAGAGTGGTTTTATAATTTTGGTGCCAAGATGTTTTTAATTATGGTCATCTATTGAAGGAGTGTTTTCTTCTCATGGTCAGTCATTTGGGTTTTTGGGGGATTTTTTAGTGGGGAAAAGAGAGTGATACTTCTGCAGTGTATCTACAGAATATCTTCATATATTTAACACCTAGCTTGGTGTGTAACTCAGCTCCCTGAATCTTAGATATAACGGTGTTCAGATATTAAAATGGGGAACATACAGTTACCCTGACATTAAGAAGTTAACAGCTGTGTCCTGAAGGAAGTCTAATTCGGTCTGCCAAGAAGATAGGATGCTTGTGTGCCTGTTCTTACCCTTAACCAGGGAGCCGGAGAGCTGCTTGAAAAGTTCCTGAGTGCCAGGTTTGTGAAATACCGTGGGAGTCTTCAAATGGGAATGCATGAAATTAGATGAGAGCATCAAACTCGTTTCTGCTTTTAGCCGTGTGAGATGGTGTCTGGAACTTGAACAGTGAAAGGCAGATCCTTGGTTCTGGTTTTGGGACAGTTGCAAAAACTTCTTAACGAGTTGGTCTCCATGTGTGTGACGTGGTGGCACCTGCTGGCTTTTGTTCCTCTCAGAGATGCTGGGCGTGAATCTGGCATTGCTGGGATTGGGAGAGGGGCAGAAACAGGGGCTGGGAAAATAAACCTTCCCATCAGTTCTGTGGCGCCTGTAAAAGATACTTAGGGATTGGCAGGTTTCTGTTTCCCTTAGAGCCTGAGTTACAAATTTAAACTCAATCTGTCAATTCTATAAGCACAGCCTTTTGCTCCTAATTACAGAGAGAGAGAGCAAATACGCTTCCCTGAGAGTGCCGGCTGTGTGCTGAGCTGGTGCAGGGAAGCAGCTTCCGTCAGGGACGGTGAGTTTTGAGAAGCACGGGAAGCTTCCCTTGGCTGTCGTGGGCTTTTGCTGGTCCATCAGGATCAGCAGAGTGCAGCAGTGTGGGAGATGCCTGGACTGGCGCTTTCCAGTCTGTTACTTGTGTTGATAAGGGAGGAACCGTGTTTTCCCAGCCTGCGAGTTGAGCAATCGGAGTTCAGCAACAGCAGAAAACCTGCAGAAAGGCTGCATGTTTCCCTGCAGGTCCGGTCTGTGTCCAGAGCACCTCCTGCAGACGCAGTTTCCGCAGCTAAAACCCAGGGCAGTTAGCTGAACACTGCTGTCTTACAGCAGCACACAGCCACCTCCCAGCCGAGATAAACTGCTGAAGCACACTGCCATCAGACTGCCCTGGGAGGTTTTGTCGCAGAGCTGGTATTCCACACCCCGTCACAACCCGGACTGATGCAGCTCTGCTGCACGAGGCGAGTGCTGTAGAGCTTGACACAGATACAGCAGGATGACATTTATATGTAGAAAGCAGACAGTGCTGCTAGTAAAGGCTCCAGTTCAGCAAAGCCCTTAACCACATGTTTAAATGCCATTGAAGTCAAGTTAAATTAATCATATACATAAGTACTCTGTTGAACAGGGGCCCGATAGCAGTTTCCATCTCCTTCCACATGATCAAGGCTTTTTCATATTCTGCTCCGTGCAACAGGGATTTCTTCTTGGTTGCACAGCATGAGCAATTGCTGTGACTTTTGGAAGACTCCCTCAACAATTTGGATTTGCTAAGGTGTCATAAACAGTTTTATGTGGAATGCCTGCAAGATAGAACACAAAGGAATTCTCCCAGCTCTGTACTTCCAGGGCAGGTTTAACGCCTCTTTTCCCCTGTTTTGCAGGACCACCTGTTACTGCCAGCCACCACGCATAACAAGACCAGAAGACCAAAGATGTCTATAGTGTTGCCAGCTGTAAACATCAATGGTGAGTCCAAAACATGAAAGAGAATGATAGGGGAATCGTTTCAAAGGGATGTGCCTGCCTTGTACATGGAAAGCTTTAGACCAAATGTGTGTTGTTATAGCTTTGAAAAAGAAGTCGAACTGGTCATTACTGGGCCATAGTTGCCAGGGTCTGCACTGGAGCAGGGGTGCTGGCACATCACCTGCAATGAGAGGCTGCGTGACTTGGCCAGCGGTTCTGCAGGATCTCATCCTGGCTCCTTCAGGGACTCAGGGGCATTGCCATTCAGTCCTGTGATTTACCGACAGCAGATTAAGGGTTACTTGAATGTGATCTAGCTTCTCTAACTTGGTGGCTACAAAGATCCCATGGAGCGTGGAGACTGTCCTCATCCTCTCATGTGGGTTCCTCCTACGCCTGCTTAGCAGGGCAAATTCCTGGCCTTACTGGTTTGTTAGGATGCTGCCTGCTTTCCACTGGCTCCCTGAGCTGTTTACCAGCATGTTATACAACACTCGTGGTGAGCGGGACCTCTCAGCTCTGCTTGGTCAGGATTCATAATAATCATGTTACAGGACTGCAGGACAGCAGAGCAGACAGCTTTGTGCTGAGGGCACAGGCTTATTAGTGAACAGAATTGTTCTTGATCTCCATTATAGTCCCCCGTGAGAGACAGGAAATGAACTGTATTAATGTGTTGTTAATTCGTATGGTGAGGAGCTGCCAAGCTGGGACATGATTGGGGCGCAAGGTCAGTGTCAGAGTCATCAAATGCATCATGAACCCTGTAACTATAAACCTTACTTTCTGCGTGTCTGTACCACAATGCCTTTTTAACCTTACATATTCTACAGTACAAGTGAATCATAAACCCAAATGTTTTTGTTAAATTCAAGTGTGCTGAAAACATTATCTGACGATGTGAATTTCCATAAACCAAGAAAAAAAATCAGTTCAGGCTTGCAACATTTTGATAATTACGTTTTCCCATGCAGTACAGTAAGTTGAGTGTGATAATCTATCTTAGAGGAATTTTTATTAGATGTATCAGAATTATTTTTGGCGTTTATCTGTCTGAAACTCCCTTTTCGTGTCCGTTACAAAAAATCGTTTTCCGGCTGAGCTGAATCATCACGTGCAAATGGGCACCTTATCACTTGGAGATCAAACTCTGTTTCTAAATTACAAAGTATTTCTTTTTAACATTTTACTGAGTCTTGTTTTGCTTGAAATAACTTCTCAGTTGTTGGAGTAAATATAATCTGGAAAATACACGTCAGATTCCAGTGATAAATCTTATCCTTCCTTAATAATGGAACATTGTGAAATTATACTTAAATTCTTTGGGATTTTTCTTCAGAACATCAGCATGATCCAGGAAACAAAAAAATGTCCAGGGATTTGGACAGAGATGTTGAAACAGATGAGACACAAGGATAGCATTAAGTAAACAACGGCATCAAACAGTGCTTCCTCTGTGACACTCAGCCGGGTCTTAGGAAAAAAATTACAAGATACACAAGAGTCAGTAGGTAACTTGTCTTGATTTTTAATTTGATTATTAGTAGATTACCTGGAGGAAGCGATTCCCTGAAAAGTTCTGCCTGGAGAAGAACCCGTTTCTCTCCTATGAGAACATTGCTCCTCCACCCTGTTCAGCCTCCATGGGGACTGTGTGTGTCCTGAACAAGCATCTGGAAGTTAGCTGACAGCAAAGCTTTCCTCCTAGCTCTCTGCTCTTCTTTCGAGCCCACTTTAATTCTTTGTCCACCTGCAGAGAACTGGCTGCTAGAAGAGGCTGGGTCTCCTTGGGAGGAACTGGCAAAAGTTTCCGTGAAATAACTTCTTGCCTCCTGCCTTTTGCTCCTGCCTCAGCTAGGTCTCTGTGGAAGAAGGGAAACCTTTCCCAGTGCCACTTACTTGCTCTTCCTTTCTGCTGCCACAGCCCCAGCAGAGGAGATGAAGGGGATGCAAGTGAAGTGGCCTTTGCTTTGAAACTTCTTTGGAACTTCTTCACTTGCCTTCTTCTGTAGGATCTTTACTTGTCTGTGTACTAAAGTTTACCCGTGATGCTGTTTCCAAGCATGAAACAGCTTGCAGTTCGTCTGAGAACCTTTTGAACTGCTTGGACAGTCTTTTCCCAGCAGGACTGGCATCCTTTTCTGAATGCATTTTGATTGCTTGAGTGTCTTCTGAGCTCTGCTAGAGACTGTGCCTTCAGCTGGGTTGAGCCGTTCCCACCGCCGGCTGCAGGGACAGAGAACAGGTATGGATCAGTCACTGTCCTGCGTGGCTCTGCGTGGAGGGTAATGACATGTTTCTGCAGGATTGCTGTGGCAGCTTTCACCAGTGCACAAGGCAGAATCAAGTTTACCATTTGGAGAGTTTTTCTTGGAAAGAAGACCTGGGCTAAATCTGGCTGGTGGCAGTGCCAGTACTTTGCAGCTAGTGGCAAATCTCAACAGAAAATTTTGTAGCGGATGGGTGCACATATGTGTCCATCTGTGCATTTGGTGCAATGGAACTTCAAGAGAACTGCATTGTGCAAAGCAGTAACAGTACATCACTCATTTTCAACATAAAAACTTGATGAAAGCTATTTAGTTGTTGGATGTTGGCAGAGTAAAAATGGCCATTACCTTTTAACTTTCTCCTGTGTTCTCCTGGCCAGCCTGAGTTGCCCATGCCCCTCTGCAAGTGTGAGGATAAGCCAGTGAAGTCCCCACTGAGGGCTTCTGTGTAGGTGCACAGAAATGTGTTTAATTATTTAAGTACGTTTAATATGTTAACATATGTTAAATATGTTTACACTTTTTTTTTAAGCACAGTAACTTATTACACGTCGGTACGTGTTAATCCCTCCCCTCCTATCCTCTTACCAATTCCTTCTTCACTGCCCTGTTCTAAGCCCCTTTCCAAGCTTGCTGGGCCACCCCCTAGTTCCCAGCCAGCACTTGCTGTCGGCTCCTCCATTTCTGCCTCCCCAGCTTCTCTGGCAGCCCTTTGCCATTCTCCCTTTTCCCCGCTGGCTGCTGTCCCTCGGTACAGCTCTCCCCTCGCCCCTGCAGCCAGCCGTGCCCACGTTTGGACCTGCCCCATGACAAAGCCCCACCATCTGCAGACACAAGCAATACTCACAGAAATTCTGATGGGACCTAAGGACCTCAGGGTTGCAGGGAAAAATGCACAACTTGATAATCCGAGTACATGGTTTCAGGGGCACTATTGGTGCGGCTCTATTGAGAAGTTATTCAAGAAGAAATGTCTTGCAGTTTCTCATGGGAATGAAAGCCAACTGCAATTTACAGTTAAACTCCGGCTTTTGTTTTTAAGCAAAGTCATGTTTGTTATGCTGGATTGAAGCTATTATTTTAGAAATCTAACTATGCACTTGAGACCAGTTAAGTCTCCAGTAGATTTCATTTCTAAATTTGCTTTTATTGCAATTCCGAGTCTTGTTGGCTCATTACTCCAATTCCAAATTGACATATAGGCGATGCCTTTCTTGAAGTTTAAATGAAAACATCTGCCATTAGCCTTGTATTTACTTAACTGCTGTAAAAAATGTAGTGGGTTATAACATTGATCTTTGGATCAAAATAATCTATAGAGTACAGTATAGCTAAGCCACTCTTCCTACCCCAAGCACAAGGCTTTTGTCTCTGCGGGATGCCTGCAGCTCTGCAGCTCAGCACACACCACCAGTAGTCCTCTCCTTGCATCACGCAAAAGTGAGAACATATGTACAGTCATTCAGTGTGGGGGATGGCATTCCACGTTTAGCCAGGAAGCCACTTTCATTAATGCACTTCTCCTGGGATTAGGCTAGATACTATCCCAGCTTGCACTTTCTCTTGGTTGGAGCAGCTGTAAATGTCCACGCAGGTGTGTACTCACCATGAGCACTGGTGGTCTTAGCAGCAGCACAAAGACCAAAAAGGCCTTTTCTCTTCCTAGGATGCCTGTGCAAAACAGCTCCCCATACGTGAAAGTGCTTCCATCGTTTGCTCTCTCTAAATTGAGGGTTGGTGTCTGTGTTCTCAGCCAAGCAAAAGTGAGAGACCTGATGGGAAAGGCGCTGGTGAGACCAGAGGCTCATTTTCTGGGAACTGGCGGCCGTGACAGAGTTTTGAATTTTATACAAATATTCTGGATAGGTCCGTAGTCTAATGTCACACAACGAGACTTGTCTTCAGTCTGCCTTTGAGATAGTTGTTTGTGTGCCTGAGCCTCTGTAACTTGCATGTTCCTGGTTCTTAAGGAACCCTGTTCTCTTACGGGTTGGGGTTTTTTTTGTGAAACGCAGCAGCAAAAGTGTCTCCTACAGGCAAAAATCTACTGTGAGCGGGATGGTGAGTTTTGCAAAGTCCATGTGCTCTGTTGTGTTGGCCAGCTTCTGATCGCTGTTACTTCCCTCAGCCTTCCTTCCTAGCATCCCTCATCACACTGATGTAACAGACTTCAAAAGTGCCCGGAAATAATACACATTCGAATTAAAATGGTCAATAACAAATCTAGTGGTAAGGCTTTTTGATCAAAACTCGAGGGATTTCTGCCACCAAGCAGCATGATTATTTGCATGCAGCTACAAAGAATGTTCTTTCAACTGACAGCCACGTGCAAAAACCACTTGCAGATGTCCAAGGCTGGTAGCAGACTGTCTGTGAAAAATCCATAAGGCAAACAGAAACCACACAGGCTGAGCAGGAAAATAAAAACAAAAGCTCTTTGGGAAGTGACAATGTTCTGTAAGTTCCCATGTCTTGGGGTTGAATAAATAAAGTCTCCAACTTCCTCTGCCTTTCAGGGTCAAGCAAACAAAAGATGCCATTTCCGTCTTTTGGAGCAAGAAGCAGAATTCCCAGTCAGTCATCAAATGAGGAAGGTCTGAAACAATACATACTGCTTAGAGCAGCTGGCTTCCCTGAAGGTTACTGCTTAACATTTTGGGTAGCCTTCTCTCTCACGTTGAATAGCTTCAGAGTGGTTCCCGGGAGACAGATAGCCACAGCTCTCTCTAG